CAGCTCAGCTACTTCCCTTTTAGGTATTTTACTGGAAGAATTAAAGCATCATAGCTCAGCAATATATGTATATCCATGTTTTGTTTTGTTCCTTTTGGGTACATGGCTAAGAGTGGAATTGCTGGGTCATAAGGTAACCCACACTTTTAACATCAGGACCTACCAGACTGTGACAAAAAGTGGTGGCGCCCTTTTACACTCCTACCAGCACTGCATAAGGGTTCTGATCTCTGCATCCTGGTCAAGGCTCATAATTTTATGACTTTGGTTCTCTCAGTGTTAGTGGGTATAAAAGAGTATCTCTGAGATATTGGTCAGCATTTCCTAGATGACTAATGTGTCAAATATCTTCTCATGCACTCACTGGCCATTTGTATATTTTCCTGGAGAAATGTCTATTCAGGCACTTTCCTGCTTTTAATTGGATTATTTATCTTTTTTTGAGTTGTAAAAGATCTTTATATATTTTGTATATGAGTTTTTGTCATATATGAGATTTGCAAGCAATCTCTTACAGCCTGTGGGTAACCTTTACACTTTACATTGTGTCAACTTGAGAAATTTAGACATATAATTAAATGACTCAGAAGGGGAGTCAGGTCCTCACTTTGTAAAAATCCTCATGCTTTGCAAGAGGAGGGCATGGAGATCAAGTGTGTACTACACCCACCATAGAGGGGGCTGGCCTGCTTACCACATAAGCGAGAAAAAGAGGCTTGCTCTGTCCCCTTTTGCTCTTGCTGGTTTGCTGTTTTATGCCTCCTTGAACTGTTGCCCCTGTGCCGTGACACCCTGCCTTGCAGGCAGCTGATTGTGGGCTGAAACCTCTGCAAACCATAAACTAAATATATCTTTCCTAGTTTTTTGAGGAATGTCCACATTGATCTCCACAGTGCTCATACTAGTTTACACTCCCACCAATAGTGGAGAAGTGTAATTTTTCCCTCCAAAGCCTCTCCATCATTTTGTAAAATATTTTCATTTTAAATAAAAGGAAACAAAAAACAGAACAAAACAATATGATAGGAGGGTAACAATGCTTAATACATAGCACATTGTTGTCTTTAAATTAGTTACTCAGAGTATGAAGTATCACATTTAATTGTCCAATGTGCCAACATTGTTGGCACAGACCCATCTTTTCAAAGAACCAAGAGGAATTAGTAGTATAAATATCTTAACTAATATGTAAGTTAAGATAATATGTAAGTATCTATCTATCATCTATCTATCTATCTATCTATCTATCTATCTATCTATCTATCTATCTATTGATCTATCTTTTGCTTTTCCCTTCCTTCACCAGCATTTGCTATTGGTTGATTTCTTGATGATAGCCATTCTTTCTGGGTTGACATGAAATCAGTGTTGTTTTAATTTGTATTTCTCAAATGACCAATGATCTTGAACATTTTTTTCATATAATCATTTGCCATTTGTATTTCTTCACTGGAGAAGTATGTATTTATCTCAGATGCCCATTTTTTATTTGAGTCTTTGAATTTTGGGGGACTGATTTTTAAAAAACTTTGTATGTTCTAGATAGAAGTTCTTTGAGGGACATTTTGCTAATTTTTTTCCCAATCTATGGGTTTTCTTCTTACTCTGTTGTTGATTTCTTCTGAAGTGCAAAAAATTTTCAATAAGATGTGAAACCAGTTATTGATTCTTTGAAGTAATTCCTGTGTAGTTTGGTTTTTGTTAAAAAAAACTCTCTGCCTACCCTTATGTCTTCAAAATTTCTACTTTCTCTTTCAGTAGTAGATATAGTAGTAACTCTATTTGTCATAGCTAAATCTTGGAAATTATCCAATAAACTCAGAAATGGATAAAAAAAGATGTGGTATTTTATACTATGCAGTATTACTCAGCTATAAAGAAAGATAAACTCAAGGCTATTATAGGTAAATGGATGAAACTCTAGACCAGGCTCATAAGTGAAATCAATCAGACCCTTACGTGTAAACATGGTATTATCTACCTAGTGTAGCAACCTGAAAGAGTAAATAAAATCTGAAAACTACAAAAGACATTGTGAAAAAACAAATAACTGATATGGGGAAAAGGAGAAAAGAAAGAAGGAGGGGGAAATATACATATATAAACAAGATAGCTAAGGTAAGTGTACTACTAATTTCTATTATTTATTGAAAAGAACAATGGATGCTTAATTGTGTGATCAATTTTGCATGCCTATATCTAGTCATCTGAACAACTATTTTGAAGACAATAATATGCAATACAACCACCATTGTTAATTTCTATCTTATTTTGAAATTTTTTATCATTTTTATTATTGTTTTTCTTATTTTCTATTCTTTTTTTTTAAAAAAATAAACCTTTCCTTCCTTAATTCTGGGTATTGGGTATTTTTACTCAATTTTTGTCTCAGCAAGGCAGGGAAGGTTCCTAAGACAGCACCCTCTGAAATGTAAGTCCTAAAATTTGATGATATAAATTTACCCATTTTTCTTTTGTTACTCATGCTTTGGCACCATATCTAACACTTTTGCCAACTCCAATGGCATGCAGATTACTCATATGTTTTCTTCAGAGAATTTTATAGTTTCGGCTCTTGCATTCAGGGTTTGATCCATTTTAAGTTAATTTATGTATTTGGTGTTAAGTAAAGCCCAACTTCATGTTGTCTATCAACTTTCCCCAGAAGTGTCTCTTTAAAGGACTACTCTTTTCCATTGCCCCTCTGCCAAAAATCACTTGGCTATCAATATAAAGGCTTACTTCTGGGTTTTCAATTCCATTTCATTGATATTCTTTGTGGTTTGGGTCTGAAATGTCTCCCCAAAATCTCACGTGCTCATAAGCAAGACTTTTGGAAGGGGATTGGATGTTACAGACACTGTGCTCATTAGTGCATGAAGAGGAAAAGCCTGGTCAAAAGACTGAGCCATGGGCAGAGGGGGCGTGACCTGGAAAGGCGTGTCTTCCTGCCCAGCTTCTCCTTTCTCTCTCTGCTTCCTGATCTCCATGATGGGAGCAGCTGCCCTCTGCAGCAAACTCTTCTGCCATGCTGCTCTGCCTAGGAGCCAGCTGACCACGAACTAAGACTGTGAATCCAAATAAACTCCTACATACTGTGAGTGTTGACCTTGTGTCTGAGCCATGAGAATGCGACAAGGCAATCTTTATGTCTAGCCTCATTCCAACATTATATTTTTTGAGTATCAATAATTCTGATATTAGGAAGTGCAAGTCTTCTAGTTTTGTTTTCATTCTTTTCAAGATTTTTTGGCTACTTTGGTCTCTTGTACTTTCATATGAATTTTAGGAACAGCTTGTCAATATTTGCAAATAATCCAGCTGGGATTTTGATGAGAGCTGTATTGAATATGTAGCTCACTTGGGGATTATTGCCATTTTAACAAATTAAGTCCTATGGTCCATGAATCTGAGATATTTTTCAACTTATTTCAGTCTTCAATTATTTTCAAAGTTTTGGAGTTTCCTTATATTAGTCTTAGGTTACTTTTGTTAAATTCATTCATCAATATCCTGTTTCCTTTGATCTTATTGTACCTTAAGTTTTTAATTTTTATTTGCGGACTGTTGGTTGCTACTGTACAGAAGATACATGATAGTGATTTTTGTTTATTGATCTTGTATATTGCAACCTTGCTAATTTATTAGTTCTAAAACTTCTTTGGTTTGCCAAAAAATCCATAGGACTTTCTTTATGAAAGATTTCATTTTCCATGATCAATGATTGTTCTGCTAATGGTACTCCAGTGTTGTGCCTTAATTTTAATTTTTTTTTGTCTTTTTGAGACAGGGTCTCACTGTGCAGTTCAGGTTGGCCTTCAACTCACTTTGTAGCCCAGGCTGGTTTCCAACTCACAGCGATCCTCCTGCCTCAGCCTCCTGAATATTGGGATTACAGGTGTGCACCACCAGGCCCAGTTTAATTTTTCCTTTTTCTAACTTGCCTGTGTAGGTTCTCCATGGTGAGGTTGAAAACAAATGGAAAATCAATCACCCTTATCCTCTTCCTCAGTCTTAGGGGGAGCATATAGTCTCATCTTATTAAGCATGATGCTAACTGCAAGATTTCAGCAATGTCCTTTACAGACTGAGAAAGTTCTCTACAATTTTGACTTTTTGAGTGTTCTTATCATGAAATGGTAGTGGATATTTTCAAATTTGATTATTAAAAATATATATTGAGATAATTATGTGATTCTTGTTTTTCATTCATATGATGTACTAGATTAATCAATTTTTAGATGTCAAATCCATTTCACATACCAGAGATCGATTCTACATGTTCAGATTATTTAAGTCTTGCTGAATGAGGTTTGTTAAGATTTTGCTGAAAATGTCAGCACTGTGATCCTAAGTCAGGACACTGGTGTATTGTTTTATTTCCTTACATTGCCTTTGCATGGTTTTTGGAAGACTTTATGCAGATTGGTACTAATTCTTCAAATGTTTGTTAGAATTCACCAGGTGGAGCATCTAGGCCTAGAGTATCCTGGTAGGAAATTTTAAGTTACTAACTTAATTTTTTTGCTAGTGACTGGCTCATTCAGATTACCTGAATGAGTTTTGTAGTTTATATGTGCCTAGGGTTTGTCCATATCTAATTTTTTAGTGTATAATTAGGCACAGTTGTCTTTTTATTGATTTTAATTTCTGTAAGGTTGGTATTAATTTTTCATCTCATTTCTTCTTTTAGTAATTCAATTATTTTTCTTGGTTAGTTCACTCACTATAGATTTGTCAGCTTTGTGGTAGTTCACACATTGCTTTTGCTACCGAATCACAGAAGACAAAGAGGGAGGGCAATGCCTGGACCACAGCGGAATGGCACCCAGGTCATGCAAACTCTCAAGCCCAGTCTCTCCTGTGCTGGGGGTTGATCCCAAGTGTCTTCCAGACTAAGCCCTTTCACCACATTATCCTGAAAGGGCAACTAAGATGATGTGGGACTGTGGGGTCTTGGGACTGCATTGGAGGCTGCAGCTGTGGCCGCTCGCACTCACCGGTACTGCTTCTGCCTTGTCTCCAGCTCCTTGCGCCGGTGCTGCTTCAGAATGTGGATCTGGTCATCTCGAGCCAGCTTGGCTGTGAAAGAAGCACGTGTATGAGGAGCATACAAAAGAGCAGTGGTGATATCCTGTGCCTAGGAGGCCTACCAATGTGGGAACTCCCCATGCCTGGTCCCATTGATGCATCCCAACATACCTTCATTTACTAAGGTGAAGAAACAGACAGGAGAGGGGTGAACAACTTTGCCCTTGAAATCTGTCCAAGATTATGCACCTAATTAGTGAGCTTGCAATACAAAACCCAAATCCCATGTCCTTAGCGGTTCTCTTTACAAAAAGCAAAGCTACTTCCTCCTCTTGTTCCATGGCTCATCACAACCATGGTGATACCCCCCTTTCCATTTCCCAAAGCTCAGAGCATCAAATCCCAATACAGTCATTGGGTTAGGTTCTCACCAGCTTCCCAGGGCCAGGGCAATGGTCCCAGCATCTTTGGGATGAGCAGTGGGTACCCTTTGCTAGGATTCTCCCCTTTCCTTAGACACTGACTCTGCAGAAAGAAATCTTAGGTTTAGGGCACAGCTGCCTGCTCCCTGCAGGACAGCATTTCAAGGTCTGTCCTGGGTGCTGTTAAAGCACTGCAGATAGCCTTGTCCCTCTTACATTGCCCAGAAACCAAAGCTGATGTGGGGCCTCAGGGTGGCCTGAGAGAGCTGCGTGATTCATGGCTCCTGTGTCTCTAGTGCATTTATTGGCTTCAAGGAGACTTGCAACTCAAGAACGGGACCTGAAGGTAGACATTGTTTGGCCCCCTGTATTGCTTGGATGAGCTTGGGAAGGAAGCTCCACTCTGAAACACAGTGGGCCATCAAGGTTGTGGCTAGAGGGGCTGGCCATACTTGGGCAGGGACACAGCCTGGTCACCAGGTGACCCAGAGCAAACTGCCTTGACTTCCCTACCTGTGTGTGAGGTGGAGGTGATAATGGCTATGATAGGGTCCCTGGGCCTCAGGAGAGGATTCAGTGAGGGCCTGCTCTTGCATCTGACCCAGTAGTAGGAAGAGTGGTGATGACATTTGTGCTGTCCCCACCATGGGCAAGAGCTCCACAGGTATCCTGTCTCTCAGCCTGTCCTACTGTAGGCTCTCACTGCAAAGGTCCCAGCAGATAGCTGAAGGCAGGCCACTTGTCAGGGCCTTTAGAACAAGCAGGATGGATCATAATTGTGTGTGGGCAAAGCAGGTGGTCAGAGTCATGGTCAATTCAATCATGAGCTAGAGGAGCCTGAATTTCCTGAGAATGTAAGACATAGGATAGGACAAGGAACAGAAGGGTAGGCAAGGACATGCACCCATGTATTGCAAAGGGTTGGGTTTTAAATAATTACAGTCCACCAAACATTTATATTTTTCTTATAAAATACACTAAAAATTAAAAAAAAATGTAACAATGTGGGAGACATTGAGGACTGAAATGCTAAACTGGGCCCTCCAGGAATCCTAGGTCACTGAGACTTCTCCAAAATGCTTTCATTCAAAGCAGAAGGACTTTGGTAGATCCACAACATTGAAAGTAGTGACAGGCAGGTGAAAAATGGCACAATACTTCCTAAGAGTGCCACCATAGTGGCCCACAGGCTTATGATCCATGTTCTTTAGTGCATGGGATCTGCTGTGCATGCCACCAGCCTCTCTAAAACATGACTTCTAAAGTCTGCCACCTTCACTCAACAGTTCTGTAATTCCAAGAATGCTAAATTTCTGCGCAGCGTCAAAGTAAGAATGAAAAACAGAACAAGTTCCAAGAAAGGAGGGGTAGGCTTGAAGAGCAAGGCTCTTCAGCGATTCACCAGGGAATCCTGGGAAAAGGGGAGGAATGCCTTTAGTGCAAGACCAAGAGGGCCAAAAGCCCTAACCCCAGCAGAATGCCCACCAGCAATATCAACACTGATCCTCACAAAGCATCAGCCCCAAAGGTGGGCAGCATCAGTGATAGGAAAGCGGTTATAAATTTTGGTTAAAAAAGAAAAAAACTTAACAAGAAGCTATCTGAAGATCAAAGAGCAGTCTTTTATCAAAAAGGTTCATCACCCCTACAACTTCTGGATGATGATGACTTGGACTCAGTTGTCCCAAAGCCTAAATGGTGTTACTCAAGCACCCTTCTCCACAAAGCCACTGGTGTGACACAGGTGAACTGCAGTCAGATTCTCTTAGTAGAAGCCACCCTCAGAGCCTCCCACTAGTTTCAAAGCCTTTACCCCTCAAGAACAGCTATGGAATTCATTAACTTAAGCCAGAATGGTTACACCAGCACTTGAATCAGCAGCACCAGGCTTTTGGCCTATTTTTTCATGGACTACGGTGACAGCAGGACCACTACCACATCACAGACGCAGAGTGACAGCAAGAAGTTCATGGGGATGTTATTCCTACTTTGTAAGAGACTCCCAAACAATGGCCAGGAAGATGCAGATGACAGAAGACACAACCCAAATCCTCAATCATTTCATTTCATTTGCATCTATCTAGAGAAGAAGTGTTCCATTGGGCACATGGAACACATGGGACACTAGGATCTGGCTCTTTGACAAGAAGCCTAGTGAGGGTTGCATAGGTTCCCATGGTCACTGGACACATTGTGTACCAAGTTGTCATTCTGAAGTACCTTGCAGTGCTTCAACACTTCAAATTGAGAAAAATTTACAGTAACTCCTTCCCTAGGAAGCTTCAAGGATGCTTCACTGATTTCTGTGACACCTGTATGCTAACGGTGAGACTATGGTAGGGGTGATTGAAAGAAGACCTGTTTTGGGGAGCCTTTGGTGTCACCCTCATTTTGCACATTACCACAACGAGTATCAAGAAAAAAGAAATTTCCCTATGGCAGTGTCTTTTAGAGAAAAGAACTTGGATCACTCTTACAAATGTACCATACCTACCCTGGAGCTGATGAAGATATATGAAGATAAATCGCAGGTGGCCAAATCGCTCAAGAAACCACCTGGGATCCACTGTTCAGAGGCCAGTAAAAGGGTACCCAGCATCACAAACAAGTTTTGTGTCCTCTGATTACAAGATCCACAGGGACTGCTTGCTGGTAGTTACCCTGTCATTGGCCCTGTTGAAGCACTGCCCTAACCTGTCCTGGGGATTAGCAGCAGTCCTAACTTAATCTTCTGGCTGGTTGGCCTAAGAAGCTTTCACAAAAATCTCATTAGAAAGAATTCTCATCAGAACTGACACGCCCTACTTTCTTCCTTGTCAGCTGCCCCAAAGCCTCTGCCATTATGTCCACCTATGTCTGGCCCTGCATTTAAGGCAAGAGATCTCCACACTCCCAGGAACCACTTTATACTTTATAGCTTAGCCTCCCTGCATGAGAATACCAGTCACGTCCACAACCTTAAGCAGAAAGCACACAGTTAGGAGTCTTTCGAAAAAAGAAGTCCAGCAGCCTAACAAAATACAATCTGGATTTGAACTCTGCCTATGTCTCAGGTCAAGGATATGGTTGAGAGTCCACTGAAACAGAAAACCAGGAAAAGATAGTTTCTTCTATACCTCCTCATAAGACTTCTGCTCTGGCTGGTAGGGTCAGTACACTGGGATGGGAGGCGAGTTAAAATACTGTTACAGTTCCACCCTGCAGCCACAGTTAGACAGTAAATAAGAGTTCTCTGCAGCCTATTTTTGAGCAGTTAGTGAACAAGGCCACTCTCCTGCTTGTCCTTTTTTTTTAAAAAAATAAGATAAACGACTTCTACACAATGAATCTAATTTTCCTTTAAAAAAAAAAGACCTCTTTTTATGTGGGAAAAGTACCTTTCTAACTTGTTCTCTCCATGCATTTGTTGGCAAATGCACACCTTTGGCAAAGGTGTGTGTTGCTTTTTTCACCATGTCCAACATGCATCTCGCTGTAATTCATCTTTCTTTAGAAATAGGGAGAATTGATATCATCCTGTTTGGTGGGCTGAAATCAAACTCACAAACTTCACGTACTTATTCCCCAAATTGGGTACAGAATAATTTGTGTGTTCATGCTATTAGAAAAAAAAAAAAAAAAAAGTCTTGCAATGCAAGTATGTAAATTTGAGGCTTTTTGTAAATAGTTTTCTACTTAAGTGATAGATATTTCATTGAAACTTTAAGAATTATTAATGAGCATTTATCTGTTCATGTGGCCCTGGGAGTGGCAACTTTCCTGTTCTGGAGGTGTCGGAGAGCCCGGATGGCAGCTAGTGATCTAGAAATTCAATTCCCATTAGTGGCGCGTAGGCCATTAACTGGAGAGTCCTGGGCCATTAGCAAGCTCCCCAAATTTAGGAGTCCTTATGAGGCACATCTGTATTTAGCTTCCTGTAAATTTTGAAAAGATGGGGCTGTAGTGTGGCTCACTGACAGACTGCAAGCCTAGCATGCCGCAGGCTGTAGGTAACAACCCAAACATCTAAAAAAATTGAAGGCAGCTATTTTTACTTTTAAAGTTCAGAAGTTTGTCTTAAGAGACAGAGGGTTTTTTTCTGTATTTTGTCTTTATTCCTATTTATCTTCAAAGTGTATACTTTCTTAATGTAAAATTTTCTTAAAAGGAATACAGAGAGGAAAAATAGTAATATTTTATATACTATAAAATCATAATTGGGCTCACTGAGACAATCACCTTAACATTTGGAGTAGGTCTGTAGAAGTTTGCTCTAATATTTCTGTAATCACTGGAAACTTTCAGCATGGTATCCCTGAGTCAATTTTGCTAATTAATGTTTACTTTCCTATTCACTTTACAGTTAGCACAAACTGCTGTATGTTGTGCTTCTCCTGAATTCGACATTTAAATACATTATTTTTTGTATTTTTGCTTATCTGTACAAATAAAGCTGTGTTTATTAATTCTGTAGCTTGTTTTAAACTATCAACTTTCAGATTGTTTGTGCATACACAAATCTGTTTGGTGTACTGATTTATAAGATTGAGCTTTTCTAGTTATTGTTTTCTGCTGTACTGTGCTTTTATCCTAATGTTTTAGGCAAAACAGTTTACTTTTAATGGGGGGAACATTCAATATTATACATTTGTCTGTAAGTCTGCCAAATACATAGAAGTTTTTATCTTAAAGTTTAATTTTTCTTCCATATAATTAATGCATATGCATTATAAAATATGAAAATGGAAATAGAGAAATATATGAGGCATGCTATTCTCTAGAATCCACCACTGGCTAGGGAGATAACGTGGCAAGCGCAAGGACTGGTTTGATCCCTGGTGCCACATGCCTTGCCAACCCCTGCACAGAGGGGGCCACTGAAACCAGGCATGGTGGCACACACCAGTAATCCCAGCGCTGGGGAGGCTAAGACAGGAGGATCACTATGAGTCTGAGCTGTGTAGTGAGACCCTGCACTAAATAAATAATTTTTTTTTAAAATTTGCAATCTACTGTTAATATCTCCTCTTTACATAACTTGGTCATATAGGTATGCCACATTTCATATTCTTTTAAATAACTCATGGTTTTGTAATCACAGAACTAAGTTATACTTAACTAAATGTTTATATGCCACACAAATCACACACAAAACCAGTATAACATGTTAGTGTTCTAGTGTGTTTTTACTCATGGTCTTTTTAAACAATTAAAATGACAAAATTTCTACGTTTATCTATCAGCAGAGTTAAAAGAAGAACAATGACAGGTCACAGAAAAAGATTAGATTCAAACACAACTTTATGTTTTCCCTCCAGATTGAGAGATATTTCATCCTTATGCTTTGTACCTTTTAATTTTTAAAGTGAGTTCAAGTTTTCGTTCCAAACATTAATATTTCCTGAAATTCACATGATTTCTAAGCAGGGCACGGCGGTGCGTGCTTGTAATCCCAGCACTCAGGGGGCTGATGTGGGGTCTCTTCTCACCTCAAGCAGACCTGTCTGGTGGTTCCAGCTCACACCTGGCAACTCGGGCTGTGAGGCTGTCTCCAGCACACCCCTGTGGCTTCCCCTGAGCCCCTTCTCCTCGCCATGCCAGGATCAGGCCTGCTGCGGCCCTCAGGACTGGGCCTCTCTGCACAGCCCACACCTTCCTAAGGCCCTCCTGGTCCCACCTCACCTACCGCCATCTGTATGGTTTCTCTCATGGGAGAAGGACCTCACTGTGGGAGAGAGACAGAAGCATGCAGTCTGCAGACTTCCGCATCCTGGTCACCCACAATAAAGTGGCTTTTGTGACACTTTTTCCTGACGGGATGCCTAGGGGTAAAAATCCTCCTAATCCTACACATCTTATTGAGAAACAGTGGAGTTGGTTCTCTTAAATCAAATCCCACATCAGGAACCACAGAATGTGGCCTCAGGTTGGAAGGACACCAGTTGGAGAGGAATGTCCTTCTTCTGTGCCAGTTTCTTTTGAAAAGAGGGTAAGGATCACCTCATCTCACCCCATTCCAGCTTCCCTGAAGAATGAATGAGCCAGGGATGGGGAGCCCCATCCATGGGAAGTGGTCAGTGCTGCCCTGAGGAGAAGTGCCTGGCTCCTTGCTCCTGGCTGCATGGGCAGGCCAGTCAGTGCAGGCTGGGGCAGCTGGAGGGACGTGCAGGAGCTAAGACTGTGATCTGCACATACTAAGAGGCTGGTGGTCACCCAGGGAGGAGGGAGAAGCAGCTGCCCCAGGCCAGCTGCAAACACTGGTGTCTCAAGGAGGCCCAGTCAGGACCTGAACCTCTGGGGGTCCTCCTGGGAAGGGGCAGGAGTCTGCGGTCTTCTCTCTTTCAGTAAAACATAAGATCCTGGGCTTAAGAGCTGGCACCTGCAAACCACAGGCTTGCTGTGTTCCCTTATGGAGGGTATCCCAGGGAATCTTTGTCCAGTCTTGCCTGCCCCAGGCCTGTAGAGGGCCCTGAGTTCCCAATCCTGTTGTGACTCACATTCTGTGAATTAGAAAGTGAACTGGGCAGTGCACACCCAGGGATACTCCTGATAAGTACAACCGCTAGGGACCTTTGTCACCCCCGACACAGTGCTATGGGGGCACTGGAGGACACAGCTCATCCTCAGGCCACTTCTCCAGCCTGGGCTACTCGGTGTTCAAGGAGGATGATGCCCCCTCAGGTGCATGAGACACAGACCAGATGCCCATACAGTGGAGACTCAGGCCCAGGACAGCTCAGGCGACAGCCTCTGGTGTGGGTCCCATACTCACCTCGACCATCCCGCAGCACAATCTCACTGTTTCCTGTGATCCAGCGGTAGCAGGGGAACTCCACGTAGTCTCCATGGGGTGTCTTCAGTGTGACATACTTCAGGTACCAGTCATCATGCAGCCAGTACTTGCGCTTCTCGATTCTGACCAGCTGGATCTCTCCCAGCTCTTCATCCACAGTGATGTCATAGGAGTCAACCTGGGCAGGAGGACAAGCTGTCAGCCACCGGGGTCCCTGAGTCTGAGCTCAGAGGAGTCAAGACCTTGCCACCCAAACAGGGGCACCTTCAGGTTCAGCATCCTGAGTCGGGGGCACTAACATATCGAGTGGGTAAGGAGGTCTTGAACCCCCACACAGACATTCTACCCACACGGGGAGCAGTAGCAGCCTCTCTCCATGGCAGGTGCAGAAGCGACCCGGTTACCCTGTTCCTCTCCTCTGGGCCCCTCCTCCGTGTATCACCACCCTACCCTGGCCCTTCCTGACCACATCTCAGTACATATAGGATGGGCTTTCCCTGTGCTTTCAGGTCTTTGTTTCCTTTTGCGGCCCCCTGAGCCAGGTGCACCTGGTACTGAATAAATCTGTGTGCTCTTCTGCTAGCTGTCTTAGGTCAACACAGTTCTCAGGCCCAGCTAAAAATGGGCATGGGTAAAGTTTTATTTCCTCCATGGTTCATTTGGCCAGGATTAAAAAATTTTTTTTACTGATCCAGAGTCAGTGCACATAACTGGAGCGTGGTAATGCAGTATGGAGTACAGTGATATTTCCTTGTGTACAGTGCTCAGGGACCAAACCAGGGAATTACATTTCTTCTTCTTCTTCTTCTTCTTCTTCTTCTTCTTCTTCTTCTTCTTCTTCTTCTTCTTCTTCTTCTTCTTCTTCTTCTTCTTCTTCTTCTTCTTCTT